CAGGCGCCGTCCAAAGAGGTCCTTCGGCGTTTGTTGCTACAATGACGGTGATGAAAGCAGACGGCCTTTATGATGCGGAAGAGCATTGCGGCGCAGCGTTACGAGGCGCGTACTGAGGCGCTTCCCGCATGATTTTCAATGTGCGGAACGCGAACAAAAAATAGTTCGGAATGACGACCTAACCCAGAAGAGTTGTTTCTCTCTCCAGGACCTCATAATATGAACATAATTTAAAAATTTTGGCCTGTTGATTTTGCGACGAACTTAGTTAAAAGCCAGCGATCGCTTGGAGTTCTGTTACGTAGTCGGTGCGAGTGTAGTTATTTTAAATCAATAGTAAACTTTTTATTTTAACTTTTTTCAATTAAATTAACGTTATATGTTGTAAACGGTCTCATACTTTAGCAGCCAATTAAAGAAATGAAATACATTTACAGTTCTTTGTAATGCCGAGTTAGAGCGCAGCTCTTGAGGAGGGGAGGGAAGGCTACGGAGGGGGAGGGGGAAGGGTGCGGAGGGGCATTTTCCATGACATTCTGGGACAATTTTCTGGTAAATTCCACTAAATTTGGTGGAAAAATTCACGCACTAAATGTAGCGGAAATATTTATCCGTTAAAGTTGGCGGAAAATTTGTCTCGCTAAATGTGGTGGAAAAATATTCCCCTAAAATAAAAGAAAAAAGAAACTGCACGCTAAATTTGGCGGAAAGCTTTCCCTCTAAATTTAGTGCGAAATTTTCCCGCTAAATCTTGCGGGAAAATTTTTATCTAAATTTAGCGGGCAAGTTTTCCCCCTAAAATTAGCGAAACAATATTTATTTTATTTATTTTAATTTATTTGCATACCAACATCGCCTGAAGCGGCATTATAGTAGGGAGGGGCATATACATAAAATTTGTACACTACAGACACAAGGTGAAACACAATTATTCAAGAAATAATGCACAACGGTATTTAGAAGAAACTTTGAATCTTTTGAAGAAAAAAAAGCTCACACAATGCCGTTTCAACAATGTCACTTGGCAGGTTATCCCAATCCTCAATGGACCGCGGGAAAAAAGAGCCTTTGAAAACATCTGTTCTGCTGTGAACTGGACAAGCGTTTCATGAATTATCTCTTCCTGATACATAGGCGGGCTCAAAAAATATACGTGGACCTACTAATTGCGCTATTGTTGTAAAAACAATTTATATAACATTTTGAGACGGAACAATTTCGCCAAATATCAGCGGCTTGTGACGTCACGAGGGTGGCGTCACACGTAAAGTAATCCTTGTGACGTCACGATGGTCACTGATATATTATACGCAATGTCTATAATAAAAATTAAAAAAAAGTAAAGGCTCGAACAATTATCATACGGGAACTGCCGAGTATGCATCGAACTGGTTTGCAGCTATTTCTGTTGTAAGGTATTAAGCTAAAGGGGTAAGTACTGGCTGAAAAAAAAAAAAATAGCGCATGAAGTGACAAGTACAAGGGCCGGAACGGAACACAGAACACAGGCAAGCGCTGATAGAAAAAAATAGCGCTTGTCTTTCTTCCTTCTTCCGTTCCTGACCTTGTACTCGTCATTTGGTGCGCTGTTTTATCCTGTGCAGCTAGTGCCTTCAACATATTGAAGCCTGCTGCTGAGGTAGTCTTGAAACCAAAATTTTATATTTTCATTCAGTGAAACAAAGGACAGTTTTCCTAAACGCTTAGGGTATGGAACTTTCAGCAACGGTGGAGAAATGTGTCGAATAGATCGAGATAAATAAATATAATGTCCCCCTGATAAAAACAAAAAAAAAATTTGAAGCGGGAGAACTTATGATTGGTTTCAACAAGTTGCGTTGTTGTTGATAATCCCCGTTCGGAAACGACGGTAATTCGGGTTAAAAAGAGTTCTGGTCTCAAGGAACTCCACAATGTGTTTGGAGATAGTATGCTTCAAGAGTTAAAAAAACTGAACTTTGCAATCAACTGAAACGGAAGTTCGAGGCAGATTTGTCCGAGCCCGAATTATAAATACGAACGACCTTGCCACACTTCCAATTCTAGGGAACACTAGAATTGGTAAAAGATGTGTCGATCAACCAAAAGTAAATATTGGAAGCACAATACAGCATACATAACCAGAAAAAAACGTTTGTAGTATTGTTTATATCAGGAGATTTCTTCACACACAAATAAAGTAAATCTTCGAAAATACATTTACGAAATAAAGCAATATCAGTTATAGGCTCGCTGATAGTCGCGGCGACATTCGGAGTAGTAACATTATCAACCCAGAACTCGGCTGTAAATTAGCTGTTCAAATGGTTGGGGATTGCGAGGCCATTATCAAAAGCAATATCAGAAACTATGAGAGATTGTATGATGCGCTTAATCAGTGCAATGAATATCCAGAATTCTGATAGAACAGGACAAACCAGCGCGGTTTATTTTTGAGCCGCTTAATTTTTCTTTGAATGTGCATGGTGAAGCGATTAATCCAAAGGTTGGGCTTCTCCAAATTATTTGCTTTGAGTGGAACAAACTTCATCAGACACTCCCTGATTTTGCCAAAAAAACTTTTCCCTGAGGTGATCTATATTCATATCAACGTTCTCGCAAAGAGTAAAAAAAAATTAGGTAGAGTTTAAATCCGCTTAAAATAAACACGTCGTCCGCCTTTAAAAATGTAATAATATAACTTCAGCCTCGGGGAGGTGGTGTGATATGAGAACCGCTTGTAAAGTCGTAAACCACATGTCGATGGTGAGATATATTCTCTCAAACTCGACCTGTGCCCTTGTATAGTTTTGTACAACTTGAGGAATGTTCGCATTCAATGCCAAATCAACTAAGAGCTCCTAGTTTGCAGAAGTGTCGCCCTATACACAATGTGAACTTTCTGAATTAACATCAAAATAAGACCACGAGTTAAAATAAAGCAATTATATATTTTTAGCAAGTTGAAAACGTAATCGCTAAGATACTCTAGGACGGATCTAGGAGAGGTAGGTGGGTGGCAGTCCACGCCAATAATTATGAGTGGCAAGAAAGTAATGTTAAGAAGAGCAGAATCGACTTCGTGCAAATTGTTAAGCTCTTGTAAGCTGTGATTGTGTTTTTTTTATTAGGCGAAAGGCCTCCTTTCCGCGACCCACGATCACGACGCAAAATATTACCCAGGTGGGAAATTTCACTCTGTGTTACTGCAGTATGTAGCCATGTTTCTCTTATTACCACACTGTCTGTGTCATTCTAAACTAATAATTGTTCAAAGTTAAATACCTCATTAACGAGACTTAAGTATTTTACGTTGTTTAATTTTAATTGCCTCAATAAAATTTTGTCATGTCAGGGTGCCAGAGTGTCATTCGATACACTGGTTCGTGAATAATCATTCTTAATATATATGAGTGATCATTCTAGTTATTTTATCTTCACGAGGTACCTTAAGCTTTTCAACATAGTCTTAAAAAAACAATATCACAAAGATTTTTTCTTTGTTTTTTCTGAGAACAAATAAACAAGGCACTCCAAATTTCCGAAGAAAAAAGTCGTAATTCACTCTTGTTGAACTGCTGTTTCTTTGGGTGATTCTCGAAGGCTCCAAACAAACAGAGCGACGTGTTCTGTCTTCATAGTCGGTTACTTTGTCATTTTGTTATTCATATCCCAACTAACCATCAATTTGCAGTTGCAATAATAGCAAATTCAATTCGTGTTTCTAGATTGTATTTTTATGTGCAATTGGCTGTTTTTTCCTAAAATGTTGGGGTGTTAATTTTTTTCTGTATCTCTGCTTTATGTAACATTGTACTCCAGCTTGTACCCCAACTACTGTAATGCCCGTAGGGGTCTTCAAACTTTAGTTATTGATGACGATGTATTTGAACCATAAAAAAGTTAAATACCTAAATCGGAATCATTTGATTTCTAAAGATCGCATTTATCAAAATTATATTTCAGATTAATGAGCCAAGTTGAGCCAATGAGCCAATACTGCTGAACCCCTTCTTCCTGGCACGTTCGGTGAAAAAAGAGAATCGGGACGTATCTCACAGCTCTCTTCCAACTGAGCGTGCCGGAGCGCACATTCGGTGTGAGGGAGCACATTCCTTGGCCCCTAAACTCGTCAAACACAAAGTTGGGGCCGAAGTTGACGGAGCGCACCGATTGGTCTATCACGACGATGACTTCGCGCTTTTTTCGCCAACGTCCAATCAGCGCGCTCTGCAAACTTTCGGCTCGAACTTTGTGTTTGACGAGTTTAGGGCCCCTTAGCTCAAATATCGGCAAGATAAGTTTTCGTTACTCTGGATGTGTTGTTTTTCTAAAGCAGCAGCCGTCTTTTACTATTTTCTGTCGTTAATGAAGCCTGGGTTTTAATGCATTTAGGGGTATTATGTTGACTTCCTTGTCGGCGCTTTCTTGCCGTCAATGTAGCAAGCGCGGGCTGGGCTGAAAACCAAGCGAAGTAACTGCTGCTGTAGACGTTTCTTTTCAGAGGTAACTCAATTCTCTTACTGGTTACTCCATTAAAAAACGAAAAAGAACGGATTCCTTCTTTCGTATCTCGAAAAGGAACTGAATCGTTTGCTAACAATAGCCAGATGAAAGAAACGTGTTACTTATGACACGTTACGTACAAGTGTGGAAACTATTCACAGGCCTCAAGACATCAAACTTTATTAAGTATCTTTGCAGTAATATCATTCGAGTGGCCATTCTGAAACGCTGCTCGAAGGTAGACGGCCTAGCATCCCAGGAATGGGCGTTGACAACGCAACACGATACGCTGCTCTTTTGCGTGCTTCGCTATTCCAAAACGGCTTCCTGGGGCACCGTGTGGTGTACTGGCCTCACTTGAGTTGTTATTATCACGATATCAGCAAAGCTGCTGTGCTCCGCTCGTTTGCATCCTTTCGTGTACAAAACAAGAGGCACAAAGGGTTGAATGCGACAAATAACCTCTGTAGGTTTGGACCGATGAACTCTTTCCAGATAACGATAAGCTTCAAGATATCTATGCCACTGACAAAAGAGAAAAACGTCTAGCAACTGACGAGGTTGACACTCAAGTTCAGCAACGAAGAAGGATACACTAGCCGGCTCCATCAGGCACTGCAAGTAAGTTTTGGCTTGAAGCTCTCCCACGGAAGTGCAGTTTTCATCTTTCTAGACTAGACACAGACCAGCCCTGTTAAAAAAAAAACGGATGCTTTTTGTGCAAAGCTGGTACCGAATTTAAGAGGCTGCACCTCGTCTCCAATTCTTGTCAAGTGTTTTGACAAACTAACGTGAGGTCTCGCAGTCGTCTGTAATGTTTTGCACATTATGGATTGCTGATGGATGCATAATGAGCAGCGAGTAGTTTATACTGGTGTTAACATTAACTACTATAAAATGACGTTCGGTCCTATCGGGTGGGGTTTTAATCTATTAAACGAGGCTTAAAGGGTTATGACAGGGAAATTAAACGGATCGGTTATTCTTGAAATGGAATGCTCATAGGCTACTTAGTATATCCACCAAGTTACGAAATTTTTGGAGCTCTGGTAATTGCAATATTCAATTTACGAATTTTTAGTATTTTCATCTGGTGACCAGGCAACACTGACACAGTTGGTCACACTATGGTGTCCATAAACCACGTGACGATGGAAGCGCTTCCTTTTAATTTAGGCGCCCCCATGATCGCCCAAGCGCCCTCGCCGCGGTACGATCAAAGCCGCTCATGCAACTCGGTAACCCGAAAGCTATTCTCGCTCTCGCCCCCTGCACCATGACCTTCCACCCTGCATGTGCCTGCGAGATATCCCCGAGCGACGGTGACCACGGCTAGTTCGTCCGTAGCTCGTCGTCGCTGGAGCTGGTCGCCAGCGGGTCGCAGTCAAAATGAACAGCCTTCAACATCTTTTGATAGCAATCACTCATCGCTGCTGCGATCAATGTCGAACACTTTGACAAGGCGAGCGATGCCGTAGACGTAATCGTCACGGACCGCATTCTCGGAACGTGGGAGGAAGCTGAGGCTCGAGACGCCAAGAAAGCCAAGTCTGTGAGTGCGTGCAAGAAGACACCGCGCTGGAGGCTGGCTACGTAGCCAGCCTCCAGCTCCGCCCGGATCTTCCCCTCCGAGGGACCCGCATATAAATCGATTTATCCACGAAAATATCACGCCATTTTTAAAACAAATTTAGCAGGACTAGAGGAACATACAATGGGTCCTAGCAGTATAGTTTTCTCATATTTTATTTGTGGCGTGTCATAACTCCTTTAGTGTTTAACAAAAGAAACAGATTTGAGATTCATCTCGTGTTAGCTTGAACTAGAGTTACCTCAAAATATTGCTGGAATTAAGTCGTCGATAACTTCATATGTCCTCGGCTTTCTTTTATCACGGAAGCATGTGGGAACATATATTTTATAGCGGAAGATAGACATCAATATTGAAAAAACTGCATATTTAACCCAACAGTAATTCTAAAATATTTTGACATGCGCTTTAACATTTTTTCAAGTGTTTGAGGTATCCTTCAAAGTTATCAAAAGTGACCTGACGTAGCCTTCAAGAATTTCTGAAGGGTATAAGACACCGTCATAATTTTTGAAGGCCTATGGCGTCACTCCCAACACTTCCATAATAACACGGCACCCATAAAAATTGTTTTAACGGTTCTGCGAGAAAATTCCGTGACCCTTCAGGATATACGCGTCGGGGAGGCCGCTTAGCCATTTTGTATCGGGCGGCCGCTACGAATTGAATATGAATGTAAACTTCCCCTTGCATGTTTGGAACCTATGCACTAAAGCATCTCAGTGTGCGGATGGAGGAAAATGACTCTCAGTGCCCTGTTTCTCGCGCCTCTTCGTACGTCGGGCTTCACAAACCCATTCAGCGATAAAAAAAAACGCTGGAAACCTCACTGCAACGGCGCTAAGACGACGTAGTAACCGTTACCAGGATTTCTCAACAGCAGCGGCCGTGTTTTCGTGTTCGTGATTTGCGCACAACGGGCTACGGAGAGTGTGTATATGTGCGTGTAGTGCACCTACTTTTTTATTAGTTGAACTACAGTAGATCTCAGGAATATGTCCAGCATAATTGTGAGTACCTCAGGAGAGGGTTTTGCGAAAGAGTACTCGGTTGTTTTATTTAGTCTGATCTATTTTGGCCACGGCTGCATCCACCATGTTTTGAGAACAATAATTGGTTCTTATTGTGGTTTTGTGCTACAACGTGGATGTAAAACTCAATGTCTAAAATACATTCCTAATAACGCGTTAAACTGAATTTTCGGTCTATGGTTTACAGTCATTTGGGTGTCTCAATGGTTGAAGGGCTGAAGGGGTAATAAAGGCTGACGGGGCTGAAAAGCTGATGTGGTTTGAAGGGATTTTAAGGGCAGATAGGGTCTTACAACACATCAGGGCTGAAGTGTTCTTTCCAATAGAAATTTCTAGCTTCTACATTCTCTATATCTTTAAGTAAGATACCCGTTATTATCTCACAAAAATGTGACCGTAAGATTAACGATATCTGTTTCTTATATTTTGGGCACTCCAGTGGCTAGTCTAAGCTCATCACTACCTTTCGAACTATGGTAACTACAATAACACCTCCACCCCAGTTACCTCAACGATTGATATTTTTTCCAGACGAGGTGCTCGAACGCAGAGGCACTATCAGAAACCATTCTTTGATTTGGTTGATTCCTTATTGAAAATAAAAATCCGGATTCACTACCCTATTGAATATAACAATTCAACCTGAGGTTTTAGAGAACCCTCTCAGTGCTTCAACCTCATTAAACAACTCAGCCCTTAAAACCACTTTGGCCCTCCAAACCCTTTCTGCCCTTCAGGCTCTTAGTTCTTAAGACTCTATCAGCCCTCCAGCCTTTTAAACGCCGAAATGAGTGAACGATAGACCGAAAATGCAGTTTAAACGTTATTGGAATTTTATTTCTGAAATTGAATCTTACATGCATATTATAACTAAAAAAGACGATAAGAACCAATGCATGCTCAAATCCGGGCGTAAGCAGTTCTATACAAAAGCGATCAGGTGAAATGGGGACAACCAAGTTCTTATTTGCAAAACAATATCCTTCGAGGTAGACACAATGCCGCTGGGTAAATTCCTGAGATGTACGATAGTTCAACTAATCAACCCGAGCGGGTACACCACATGGAAACATACACACTGCGAGTAGCACGTCTAGCGAAAACTATGAACGCGCAACGATCATCTCCGGCCTTTGAGAAATCCCGAGCACAGTTACTGTGTTGTCTCTAGCACTCCGGCGCTGACTTCTTTTGAAGGCTGTGCTAGCTGCGCTTCGACGATCTTATGATGTTGTCCCGGCCACCGGACGGTAAAAGCCACCTGCGCAGATCTGTGCAGGTGAGCGGTTACGTGGTCCGTAATATTGGGGTACGTGTGGCGTGCTTTGCATATTTGAAAATGAAGTGAAGTGAAGTTTGGAACAACTTTAAAATAAAATAAAAAGTGTGGAAAGAATAATATGCCGATTTATGCCGGCATTAAGCTGGAGGTCGCAATATGCCACTCTATGGACAAAGCAGTAATAGCATCGGTACTGAAACGCCTGAAGTTGGTAGCATGGTAACTATGATTAGTGCCACCATCCGTGTCGTGTTCGGGAACATCACTAAAAACTGCTCATCTATAGAAATAACGATGGCGCAAGTGTGCATCGGCTGCTACAGCTGAAATGATATTCAACACATAGAACAATCTGTTGGCTTTTAAAAATTATAATCGTGGAAAGTAATCTCAATTGTGTTGAGAAAAGCTTTCATGACAAATTTCTATTAAAAATTCCTGCTCTTTGTTTTTAAATTGCGTTTTTCGCGTACATAGTTAAGCTTCAAACTATTGCTCCGTTGTGAAATTATTTTAAACGGCTTTGAACACAAATGCAAAAATTAAATAAAATAACCTTGGAGGGTACCAAACCAGTTCCGTTCGAACCCAATTAAACAAAATTCAGAGCAGCTATAAAATGCTACCCGGAAATGTCGGCTCCTAAGATGAAATTTTGAAATTCAAGCAATTTTAGGCAGAATTTACGACTAACGGGCGGCAGTTGTGCTTCTCATATTTTTATGCTGAGTTGATAGGTTTACAAGAAATAAGCCCTCAAATTTCGTTGCTCACTTACAAGGCTACACTAAGTAATGACACTTCCCATTTGTGTAAAAAAAAAAAAAAGCACTTCTGAAAAATATGTATAAAGATTAGTGCACATTAGTTCGAAAGAAAAAACGTAAATAGGAAGCTGCATGTGTCTTTTATCTATTTACTATTAAACTAGAACGCGACTTGGTTGCATTAGTAATCTATAAACCTAGATCTGATAGAGGCATGTCTCAGAAAATTATCAAAACCAGCGCATTTTTTCTTTTCATTTCGAGTTTTGTTTGCGGAGATATATATCATATTTTGTCCTAAGGCATTGAAGATGAATGGGCGCTCATTTTCAATTATAAGTAATTGCGTTTAGTGTCACGCACGCGCGACAGTTTGTACCGCGGCCATGAGCCGAGGTATAGCCAGCACAGGCAGTATTGTTGCCGCCGTGGTACCCCAGCCTTAAAGCGTCGCTAATCCGTTTAACTTAAAAGTCTTCCAACAGACAACACAACGATATAATGAGAGCCAATCAAGCCGTTCCAAACGTGCACTATCACGACACTAGTCGTCTTTGTGCGTGTGCTACACCTGTCTAAATCTGCCACAAGACAAACAAACAAAAAGGCGCACGATTATGGCGCATTTATTGTGGGGCATTGATTTATTTGTTCATATAGCAAACACAGAAAGACGATGAGAGCCTTCACAAGGTACATTCCGTGTCGCTTTTTTTTTTTCTCGTTTTATTCGCCAGTGGTTACATGTCTGAAGTAAAATCTCCGAAATGATTTTATTTGCTTTCACAGTAAGAATCGTTTTTTTTTTTTAATACACAGACAGCAGAACTCTGGTGTTATCGTCGTCGCGATACTTGCCGCATTTGTGTGGTACTCCTAATATGTTTTTGTTTTTTATGAGCGAAACAAAAACGAAAGGAAGCTTCTTAGCAGAAAGTGTATTGATTCTCCACTTTTTGCTGCATTTTTCAGGGTTATAAACTTATTCGCGTGTCCCCAAATTCTTCGAACCTTACAGAGAAACTAAAAGAGTTTTGATACTGAGGTTACAACTGTTATTTTGCCTCTGAGTGTTTCGGGGTTCAAAATACAAATTCAAGCAGCTGTTTTAAAAGTAAACTACAACAAATAATGGTTCGAAAATAGGTTTCACTAGGCGCGCGGTAACTGTTGAATGTGCATCTGCACCAGTTTTAGTTTTTTTTTTTTTTTTTGCCCGAAGTAGCTGCCGTGACGTACGCTCACCCAGCTAGCACAGTTCATCGGGACAATTTTTTTTGGTGTTTGCGGCTAAACAAATCCCCAGGAGCCAAACGTGACCTTTTTTTGTCATAGCATTTGTATTTTGTACCTTTTTTGCATACAAGGGCCAAAACCAGCTTTCATTGCTAGTAATTGTGCAGTCATATGACATCTTTCTTCGACTTCTGGTTCAGAAATTGTCGTGTGACAACTTTGGTCACAAATTACCAATCAGGTACCATATTATGGCTTCAATGCTGGTACTTAGTTCCATACGTGACTTCTTGAGATCAGGTCTGTGTCTTTGAAATAATGTGACGAGTCAAAAAAAAAAAAAAGCCTAAGACACCCTAAAGAAAAGTACTTTCGCACTAAGTACCGCATTAGAGCATATTTGTATTAGACCCTGTAGCGAACCCAGGGTAGTCCTTGTTGTCGGGCTCCGCCGGAGCCAGGTACCGACCAGGACATCAGGAAGATGGGCCTCGGAAGCAGGGTTACTTTTGATGGACGTTTAATTTACATTTGTGCAGTTGATTCAAGACCAGAGAAGAGAAGACATTTGCTTGTCAAAGTTCGCTCATTTTAAACACTTGGTTCTCCCTGGGTCCCTGGTTAGGGACCCCCACATCGGTGGATAGTCGGCCAATCCTAGAAAGGTGTTCAGTTCAAACACCGCCCCACATTCCATGATTACGCACACTCAGCCGCCGTAAGCACTTTACCGTCGGTCTAGACGGCGCCAAGAGTCTCACGAAAACACCGGCTCGTTGGAATTCACGCAGCTGGTCAAAACACCGTTCATTACAGCCCATCTAAGCCACTAAGACTGCCAAGCTTGCACCAAGCTAGGCGTTTCTCTGGTGTGCGACTTGGGCAGACCCCTGTAACTATAATTTTTGTTAACCCTATATTTGTGTATTCTGGAGTTTTCTGTATTTTTCCAAATTGTTTTAAATAAAGGAACAGCACCTAAAACTGCTGAAAGAGGTGTGTTAGAGTTAAAGAAAGCGCTCCTATAACCAAGATTTTTTGAAATTTCGAAATCCGTATTTAACCTAAGAAACTTGAAGTGTCTGCTTTCCCACAACCCTACTTAGGAGAGCCGATCGCTGTAATATACGGGTGTAACCTCGGCCATAGCCTCCTCTATACTCACAAAGCCCGGCAGTTCGACAACGGAGCCATAGAGTGCCCGGTCGCAGATTTGGAGCGCAAGGATATGGTAGCACAGATCACCAAAGAACCATTTCGCGGGGAACCTGAACGTCGGCGCACAGATTTTGCAGCGGCGAGGACCCGAAACACACTAGTTCGCTCGGGAGAAATGTGTTTGCGCGTTTCGCCACAGCGGGGCGCCAGTCACGTGGCTCTCTTAACATCCGTTGTCTGCCACTCCACCTTCTCCATTTCAGTGGCCACTCCTCGTGGCGATCTGCCAGGCTTTGTTGGTGTATAGGAGGCTATGCCTCGGCGAAGGAGGAAGTTTAAAATAAGTTTAGACGAAGATTTTGGAGCCCATCCACTTCACGTGAAGATGAAGGACCAGTGAAGCTGCTATCTTTAAAGCAACTTTACGACACTTTTACGACAACTTTACGATAACTGTAGGACATCTCCGCGATTTATATTTGATTGCAATGACAACACGTACAGGACTTCGTCGTTGAATGTTTTTATTTAATTCTTAGTGACTAGAGTGATGCTTGCCTTATGATCACTTATGGGGAAGTTCTAAACCAAATTTTTCGACGCACGTCTCGAGAAAAGCTTTTTTTTCTTTTTTCGATTGAGGCCAAATCTCTTTATCAGCATCGGGGAAGCGAAAGAAAAGAAGGTTAGATCGGCGCGTTCTGCACTCAGCCTCGTTACAGCGCACACGAGGCAGCTCATGCCTTCTCGTGATCTGCTCCAGCCGACCTTCAAAGGGGTTGTCGCGCGTGCAGAAAGACTACAGTTCCCAGGATGCATGCCGGCAGCGGCGACGTAGCAAAACTGGCTGGTGAGACCGATCTGTTGACCGAGTTTTCTCCGTAGATTTCAGCGATTGGCTCTCCGATGTTGGGATAGAGTAGACGCTCCAACTCCTTCAAGTGTAGTTCGTTCAACGGCAAGTTGGAGCCTCCCCCAAAAATATTGTCGATTAGACCTTGAATGTGGCAGATAGGAAAGCTTAAAGTGATCACGTGACTAATCTGTGGGATAGGAGAAACGAATGGCGACATTACCTCCTAGATTGAAAAAAAGTTGCTGTTTAAGTTTCGTACTTGGCTGCTCATTATTCCGCACCTAGTGTCTTGTGAGATGCTGTACAGGCCACGATGACTGTTGCGACTGCTTAAAGAGCAACTCCGGTCAAAACAAGGCCAAAAATAAATGACTTGTATCGCTTTGTTGCACAAAATATTATCACAGTTGAAATATTATGAAATATCATGTCCAAGTAAGGCCGCGAACTCCACTCAAGCCTATTTTTAAAATTTGACCAGCTCCTCTTTAGGAGATGGCAAGTGGTTAGCTCTTAATCAAGGAACACTGACACAGCGCCCTCGTGAAGTCATGTTGCAGAGGCACCAACGTTTCTAGATTCCTTCAGTTCCGGAACTCCCCGCGGAAGGGGGTACCCCCCTCTCTCACTTCAGTCCGCCTCCCGTCGGTCGAAGCGCCATCTATATTCTCCTTTACGAACTGTGTGCTCTATAGAGTGCGGTAAAGCGCCATCTAGACGCTGCGCTTCGAAATGTATAAATTCCATAGAATACACTGCAGTTATCATAGCAGCTGTGTGACGCGTCCAACGACGGGAGGCGAGCCGTGCTGAGTGAGCGGGGGGGGGGGAGAGGTAGTGCGCGTGCATGCAACGTCTATGAACAGTTCCGTAACTGAGCTGACCAAATGACGTTGATTGGCACTGCGGTGGATTGGTTGTACCGAGTAGCGCAACACCCTTGTGATGTCACATGGCGACTGTACGGCTAATAATCGCTGTCGCCTTCCCGCTAGCGGATAGTTTCGATTTTGCCGTAAATAACCAAACCCAAACTTTGTACCGTGATATTTATAATACTACACGCAATATCGAAAACAAAATTATACCTAGTAATTCAGGGACTGTTTTCAGATTTAGCTGAAAACAGTCGTCATCTCAAATTACAAACTATTGTCCAGAGTTTCCCTTTAATTGACCTACCAAGCCCAGATGGGAACATTCTAAAAGCTTTTTCAACTCGCATTCACAGTTGTGAGCGTCTTCAGACAGTGCACACGCCATGTTATGTTGTGCTTTCCTGTGAAGATGTGTAAAAGACATTTTGCGCGTTCAAACGGAGCAGGCACTACTCTATACTGCGACCCAAATATTCAACAAACCGTTTATTATGTTTTTATTTCAGTCGATCTTGAAACAAGATCGCTAAAGCCGATCTCTGCATTATACATCAGTCCTGGAGAATGTATTTGCTTGCCATTCTCTGCACTCTGATCGTCGTTCCAGTCGTCATTCTGGTCAGGTAAAGTAATGTGAATACATTTATGGGTCATCGGGAATAATGTAACCCCACGCGATATGATAACGCTTTAAGGACTAAACACGTAAACAGCTAACCGTCTCAAAATACTGGTGTCACGTAAATGCTTACTTTCAACTAAATATATTGAGACTGTTAGCTCCTACATGTCCATCGCCTGTAAATAGCCTCATATAGAGCGGAGCAATGTTTCCAATAAAAAGTTTGAGAGTTTGAGCAATAGGACTTTGAAAGATTGACTATCAAAATTCCTTATTGGGGCGAACCATCGAGCACATCGAGTAAGGTTGATAGCTGGGCTAGTAGCCAATCGCAGAGTATGCCGTCCAGTGATTGCTAAACTGACGACCGGAGGTACTCGAGTACTACAGATACATTCAAGAGAAAGGTTGCGTCATTGAGCCATCAGTAAAGCTGTCAAGTTTTGAAGTAGATTTTTTATTTTTTATTTGACAGTTTGTTTTTGTGCTCGAGTACCTTCCAGCCACCCCCTTTGTTTTCTTCCTCTCTCCCTTAAAGTATTGTTTCCTTATTTTATGGGGCCACAGACGGCTCACTGATAGAATGAACGGCGACCCTTGTATTTAGCACAATCGGTACTTGAATTTGCCTAGTTTTTTTTCCATTATGCCTTCCCAGGACGGTTGATTTTAACAAGGGATGCACGGGCATCGACCGCAATGCACTGCGAAATGCCCAGACGCCGCCTGTTTGACAGCTGCTGCGAGTTCTCTCGCGTTGTCATTTACGCTGCGGGCTGTTTGCCCTGCGTAGGTGTGCCCGCAGGATAGCGGAATGCCGTTTACAAAATGAGTTGCACACTGCAAAAAAAATTATTTTTGTTTTTCTTTTTGCATTGATCACTATCCTTTTCTGCGGCATTCATTCTTCCAAAAAATTGCGGAACGTTTTAACGCCCCGCAACCATTCTTCAAGTTGTGGGAGATAGCAGGATGGTAAGGAAAGACAGCCGGTCGTACACAAAAACCCTTGGAAGGCACAGGAAATATATATGAAGAGAGAGAATTAACTGTATGTCTGGAAGTGACGTCCTTTTATTGAGGTATTTAGGTCAGTTTTTCCTAACACACTTTCAGTTGCCAGTGCGCTCCGTGTTGCCGTTACCTTCTTCACTTTGTTCTTATCGTTCGGCATTTCTATCCAGACAAAACTGCGCATATGAAGCGCAAGTTGTTTTTTTCGTCATAACCTCGGTATTTTTCTAAACTTATACATTACGTCAAGCACTCATGCAGAATTTTTGCTTTCGAAAGTAACGGCTCTTTTCACTCTAGGTGGAGAAAGAAAACCTTCGAGTACTTCAAAAATATTGGAATCCCTGGACCTGAACCCAACATTTTCTGGGGAAATCTTCTGGAATACCACCGAAATGTAGACCATCCTTCTTCACAAATAAATGTCAATTGAATCCCAGATACGCGAGCTCGCCCCGCGTTAAAATTATATTTCACAATACAACTTAATACCTAACCTTGTAATTGTAGAAGCTATTTAAATGTCTAATCTGTTTCCTTTTTTATCTCTCTCTTTAGGAGATAGGGTTCCTACCCAGAAAAAACGGAAACCGTATATTGTTTGCCTAACTAAAAAAAAAAAAAATAGCTACACTGCTTACAGCCAAGCTTCTTCGCCCTTACACTAGCTAAAGTGGCTGTGATTCGTCCACGATGCATAAATTAACCTTATACAAAATAATCTTTCTCTTTTTTTTTCTTTTTTGCGGGGAAGAGTAACTTTTATGTGTACAGCAAGTAGGTGCTGTCGACACAACAAACATAATAATTTCTGCTGCCGAAACAAATTGATTTTATTTCAAGTTCTCTAAAACCAATTATAAATCTTTAATAAGGTCCAGGAATTCGACAGATGCTTTCTGTCTCTGAAGTTCGCTTTATGCCGAATCAGACTGCTTGGTGTTGCGTACAAGTTTTTTTTTATGCGTGTGATAAAACTAGGCTTAACTTTTTTCTGAAGAACGCAGTTTTTATTTGGTCATATGAGTTTTCTCGAAATTCCACTGATATGATTTTGATTATACCGGTTTTGAATGCCTCTCGATAGTTCACGTTCGTGGTGACCTTATGTCTGCTAATTTTGTCTTGCACGTATACAAAGCACTTCTTTTTAATTCGTTCGTGACAAAAAGCAGGCATGGAAAAAATCTGCATGCCCCGTAAAGTGGCATACAGAGAGCAGCTAAGAAATGAACAAATACCGTATTTGGTACACCGTGTAATTCAACAAAATTCAATAAAAGTTCAAGATACAACTAAACTAAACATGTGGTTTGACACAATTTTGTTCACTTTACTGGTCTTATCAACTGTTTTCTGCTTAGGGCAGAGACAATGCTCTGAAGCGATGGTACGACAAATACGGCAAGGTGTTCGGGTAAGTTTTGTGATTTAAAACCACGAATGCAAACATCATATAGGCACTAGTTGAAATTATAAAATCAGTATAATCTTTCGGTTTGTTTAGTTGATAATGTTGATATAATAATCATAAACTAGTGTTTGCGATTCTAATATTCAAATGTTTTTATGATGTTTGCGTATGACTCAGCGGTTTCTCTACTCCGTTTATTATGTTCAATCCTCACCAGCTCCCGTTTGCGTCCTTACTCTCTTATCCCAACTTTCTCGCAGTATTTTTTTTTAAGCTGTTGAATTTGTTCTAGGTTTTACAACGGCGATGTTCCGACTCTCGTGGTCAGTGACATTGATTTCTTGAATTACGTCTTTGTTGAGAACTTCAAAAACTTCGTCGATCGTGGGGTGAGTAACGCTGCCTTTCGCTTCCACAGCGGTCCTTCGTCTTTTCTCCTCTTCCTCCTTCTTTCCTATCTGTATCTGGTTCCACTCGAAATGCTTCCACAAGATCCTGAGGAAGCATTTTGATTTTCATTTCGAGAAGCAAAATGAGAAGCATTTTGTTGAAGCAAAATGAAGTTCTTTTTAAGAATAAAGTAATTCACAAAATTTTGTTGAAGAATTTTGTTTCTTACATATATAATTCCTACCGAAAGCACATGCTCGTCGCCGATTAGAAATTATGAGCCCGTGTTGCCAACCACATGGTCCACCCACGTGTTACAAGCTGGCGCGTAGTCTATCACGCGAATGGGTGTTGCGCAAGCGTCGTCAAAATGGCAGCAAGCTTGTAAATTCAACGGCATCTCTAACACAAGGGTGTTTTCCGTACCTGTCCTTAATAAACACAGCCATAGTTTGTGAGCTGAACGATATCAGAACCAATCAGGATAAAGGAGTACGCCTCGTTGGAGTGAACGGCTTTAATAAAGCTTAATCACACACCACAGATGTCTCCTTTGCACGTTCACAAAACTTCCCCTAGGCAACTCCCCTTACAAGTTTCGAGTTCATGTGGATAAAAAATAAAAATTAAGTTAGCCATGTATGCTCCGGCGTTAGCAAAGCAGAAGAGACCGAATATAGGGTCCTTTTTTTAAGCTTACCAGATCTGTTAACAAAGAAAAGACGTGAAAGCTCCATTTTCGCGATCGGTGCAGTGGAGTCATACGGCCATGGGTACATGCTGTAGAAGGCTAAGGTACCGGTCAGTGCTCTAATAAAGTAAAAATTGTTAATTACATCTTTAATATTAACGATAGAGACATGGTCTAGCGTTAATAGAAAACAAAAACCACTAAATAAGTAGTTTTTAGAAACAAAACATTGAGTGCGTGAGAAGCGCACTAGTCCGCTCTGGTGCAGCAGGTGCAAGGCTACCCGTGCGATAACGAGTCCGCGTCATTTTCCTCCCTTATATTTAAACCCGACCTTACACCTGCTCTACGCGCGGTAAATTTAGCTGACTCGTGCTGCTCACGCGCTCAAAGTAGTTTTAAATTGATTGATACAGTACATTTCGATGAAGCTCAGGAAGTTCCTAATTATAACCGTGTCTATTTCCACTAATTATAAAATTAATGAAAAAATCTTACTCAACTAGCGGACTGACTGTTACGTTCAGACTTCTATACTATGTCCCCCTTGGCCGCGAAAATTCACTCACAGGAACAGCATAACGGTAGCTTTCACGGCTTTTCAAAAACGAATCTGTTAAGCTTCTAAAATATTACCCGTATAAATTAATGAATAAGGTAATTATCGAAATTTCATTTATTAAGTTACCCTTAAGTCTACAGCACTAACGCAGGAGAAAGCGGTGCTAACTTTATTTCCTAATATGAACGCAAAAAGCACAGTGAGTGAAATCTTACGAAACAAAAGGAGTGGCTCGTGGTCTTCGCGATTTGTGATTTATACTTTGAGATTTTTTCTGGCTCAAGCCGCAATTTGATTGGCTGCTGAACATTGTTGAGATACTCTGACATCGCTACGCCCTGCGTCTCTTGAGGTGTCGCTGATTATAGACCAGTGTCCGAAACCCTAACCCCCAGTGATAAAAATGGGAAATAATAATCTCAAACCCAGGCCCTTCTCAAGAGAGGGGCTGCGCATAAACAAGACTTTATCTTTTTGGAGACATCTTTGCACCTGCGTTGTTCTTGGGGTTTCGTGACTTTGCATTTCCGACGTTCTTGCACTAGGATATGTACGAAGGTTTCTAAAAGAACGGTGGCTTGCAAAAAGCGCAGCCCCCCTATTGTGTCATGGCGTCGGCATGAACAAACATGGCGGCGCCCACGGAACAGTGCAGACACTGGTCTATAGAATATTCAAAACCTGTATATACCTAACCTCATTTGCGTCTGCGTAAAGTAATTACATTCGGATGGAGACCACTCAGCAAACTGACTTCCCAAGCTTGACGTAGGAACTTTCTTCGGCGCATTGAATGGACACGAGACATCGTGATGACGTTGAAACGATAGTGGAGCCGCGGGCTTCGATTATTCTGGGTCGTGTTGGCCAAAAAGTAGAGATGCACACGTCAAGGCCGTTTCGCACGGAGCAACAGGCTCGAGCGGCCAACATCTTGTGGACACAGCACGTACTTCAACCACCGCCACATGTTGTTGTTTTTTTTTTTATCGCGAAAAGTACGTTTGCCGTGGGAATGCGATACTAACCGCAAAACAATGAAAACCGCTATGTGATAGAAGAAAAATCACACCATGTGACACGGCCTCTACCTATAAATCCGCGAAACATTGCATGCCGCTCAGCTGGCACCATATGTAAAATTTGCTCTGGAAAGTAAAAAAAAAGGGAGAATAAATTCTAATGCTTTAAATGCAGCTTGTTAAGCCTTTAGGAAAGTCTCAAACCTTATTCGACATCAGTTCCGACTGGTACCGTAGAACTCTTTTTAAAATATTTGACGATGCTAGACTTCAGTGTTGCCGGATCTCCAAAAATATGTTCGTATATCTAAAAGAAACGATTATCGCAGTAGTCTCATATATTTTGCGCAATATAAGATAACACGGTAGAACTGCTATAGGCCTCCATGAAAGGATGCGTTGCTATATAAAATGGTTTCAAACAAGCATCAATTATTAACTTCGTGTGCTGGTGGTGGTGCCATCTTTAGAAGGTTGTTTATTTCGCCCTAATTTGATTCCGAATGCCTCGAGGCGTGTGCACGTCTACATTTCTTTTATTTTAAGTTCTCATAAAAACAATTATCATCACTGATATTAGGAGGGCAAAAAGTTGTAACAAACACATTAATATTTAGGATATAGAGACGTTCAATATTTTAGAGACGTTTCGAACTGTAAAGCTTTATTGCGGTACACTTAACTGAATTCCTCTTTCAGATAACGATGAGGTCGGATCAGGAGCATTCGTTCCTTGGACAGGCCATCGTTCATGCCAAGGAACCCCAGTGGCGGATTCTTCGTAGCATCACATCGAAGGAGTTCACTCCGTACAAACTAAGACGGGTGCCTATAAAGTTATTTAATGCATTTAGCTCCAGTTATAAAACACAGCGTGCAAAACTTTTAAAAATCAGCACTTCAAAGTACACGCGGTGATGAATACGTTCTGAATAACCTCACTAGAATGGAGAGTGGGGCTAGTTGATATACCTTCATGATTTAATACAGCACGAAACGCACAAGGACACAGACGAGAGAATTATACACAGGACAAGGCACTGATTATCAACTTTCTTATTTTGAAAAACACGCGGGCATAAGGTCTTCTTTTTCTTTTACTGTGGGGTCGCTCGTTTCTCGTTTCTTCGAAGGAGAAATTATCCAAGGTCCAAAAAGGCCATCTACTGAAAAAAATTATATGATTTTTTTTCTGATGTTTATTGGACACCTTTTTCATATCAGAACTTATTATTTCATATCAGTTTCATATGCCGCATATCAGTTACACTAGGCTAGGTGGCGCTAGGTACCGCCAAATTCATGTGCTACAAGAATATATTTATTTACTCGCGCCAACATGTAGTTACATTACGCACACCACTAGCATCAGTTGAACAAATACATTGAGTGCATATACACATACGCGGCACAACAAACATGAATACAACAGCACACCCAATAAGTACCACTGAGCTCTGCGTTTCCGCCTTTTATACAGGTCGTTTTGTAAGTACGGAGTTTTTCGGTGACCACCTACGCAACAAATAATATTTTCAGCGTGTTGGATTTTTTTCAGTAATGTCCTACCTCTGAGAGTATTTAGAACGACTCAAGGAACGAATCTTTTAATAAAAAGTAAACGCTCATGCCGTAATTATTTAAAAGCCGCTAAATCAAGCCGCTCCACTGCGGTTCCAAGCCACGTGTTTGCTTTGCCGCGCGGCACGTAGTATACTGAAAAAAAAATATATGAATTCATTTCTGATATGTTTATTGGACACATTCATATCAGTTCTTATATGTCGCATATCAGTTTTTGGGTATTTCATATCAGTTCTTATATCGCATATCAGGTTTTGGATATTTCATATCAGTTTCATATGTGGCATATCAGTTTCTGGATATTTCATATCAGTTCTTATATAGATTCATATACTTTTTTCAGTAGAGATCGGTTGGCTCACGCACGTTGTTTTCTTGTTTGCTATTTAGTAGGCTTCAATTATATCCCTAGACAATTGAACTCGGTGGTTGTACACTCATTTTTGGATCTCCTAGTGGATGTCAAAGAACAAAGAAGATGCATGCTGTATGCACCACACTATAATCACCAACACATTCGAAACTCCTCAAGAACGATATCGCTCATTCATGCAAACGGTCAACGCTAGCCAAGTCCTGCATATGCAACATGAAAGTACGATTCTCTGGCCAAATCGCCAGACTGAGAAACTCGAACTTTCCTGACACAGTTATCAAATCGCCATGTGACAAGGTAATCCGGAGCATCAAGGTTGATCACAACAAAGAGCCCAAAGATAAAGCCAAGAAATAGAAAAAGAATGTCGCAGGCATACCATATATTCACCGCCTCTCTCATGGAATAAAGCGATTCGCCTCGATATACGGGGTCAATGTCGTATCCTCAGCCCACAACAAACTGAGCAGTATTACAGCATCGGTAAAATAACGCGCAAACATAAGAAGTTAAAAAGTGAACAACGAGTGACTTATTACTATTAGGCACGGCATGAAGTTCGTACCTTGCAAAAGGGACAGTCTATGAGATCCCATTCTCCTGCAGACACTGATACATCGAAAAAACGGCGATGTGCTTAAACATCAGACTTCGCGGACATCAAAGTTCGTTAAAGGTGGAGCATATACCCATTTAGCAATGCACTGCCGTAACTGCAGCTTGCGAGCTACGTTTAAGAGACACACATATCTTGTGGAACCATCAAGCTCAGCCATTTAGGAAAATAATTGAGGCCTAATAAATAACAAAAAAAGAAATCTACGTGAGTGAGCCAATTATCTGTAAACCTCAGGGACAGTGAGATGGGTCGTTTTGGACCATGGATAACTTCTCCTTCGACGGAACGAGGAAGGAGTGGCCCCACTGTGAAAGAAAAATGAGACCTTGTGCCGGCGTGTTTTTCGAAATAAGAAAGCGGATAGCGAGCGCACTGTCCTGTGTATAATTCTCTCTGTGTCCAAGTGTTTTTCGCGCTTTTTTTTCATCAATGATCACCTCTTGTCCTTTTGGAGCGTAGTGACGTAAGTGAATATTGTAGTATCTATCTTTTATTTACAAGATACTGAAGATCAGTATTATTGGCCACGCGTTACTAGGCGTTAGATTAGTAGAAACATAATATATCACATACAATACGACACAGGAGGGCAAGTAGAACAGAAAGTTACACAAAACATTATAAGTACCAGATTGAATGCACTGCAACACATAAAAGGGAGGGGAGGGCTGAGAAGGTGAAAATATTCGCCGAAGCCCAAATTATTATGCGTACATGTCAAAATTACGTTCTTTTCTTATTCGAGCTTACCGTATGAAGTAAATATATGAGCAGACGGGCCTTTCTTTTTCCACATTTGTTCAGACTGACGGTCAAATTCAGTTGATGCACGACAAGAGAGCGCAGAGGAGATGATGCATATACAGGTATAAAAGAAAAATGACAGCGCGAAAAAAATTAGAGGTTAAGACCGATAAAGGGTAGAAGATCTAGACAGACGTGTCAGTCAAGTGCCCCAGAACCAGTTCCCACTAAGCTGCCACTCACTACCTCGGCTTAGGCCACAGGCCTTGGCGAAACGTTTTCTTCCCTTCTGGATGCTTGGCCGAAGTTGCTTCGAGGTCTGTAGTCCTGGCCTGTAGCTGGTCTGTAGCCTTGCCGGACAAAGGTAGTCTCGCTTCGGAGCGTAGCCGAAGATGCACCCATCCTGCTCGTACTCTCGACCCCTCTTCTTTTTACCGCGATAATTTAGTTTTCTTTCTCTACTGCTACTCGGAGATCCACAAACATGACATCTATTCTGCTAATCGGCAAGGCTAAGTCCGCCCAAATATTTTAATAAAACGTCACCTCTCTCTCCTATGGCCCTGGGAAAGAAAGAGTACATAAATCTATTTGAGAGAACAAAAATAGTTTTTTAAAGGGATGGTCGCGTCTAGTGTGTCTAGACAATGATATTTGAATGTAAGATGATGATTCAAGCTGAAGTTTGTTTAACTGGAGTTGATAAATAAATTTCAATTTCGCTAGGTTTCTAGAATACTCCGGATTGATCATTACTTTATTTCTAATAAATACAGTAGCAAACTCAAGCCGAAGGTAATTATTATGTTTAAAAAACTTCGGGGACGCTTAAGCGTTGACTTTACGAGTAAAACGCAATAGCGTTGTCGGGCACCGTACGCAAAGGCTTGTAACCCTCGTGAAGGTAACCCTTTTGAGGGTAACTAACCCTCGTAACCCTCGTGAGGGTTACGAGGGTAAGTAACCCTCGTGGCCCTCGTGATCCTCGTGAGGGTAACCCTCATGAGATTAACCCTCGTAACCCTCACGAGGGTTACGAGGGTTGCGGTTACGCCGACGCCGACGCCGACGGCGACGCCGCTCAAGCCGGGAACGGGCCCCTAAGAGCTGCGCTCTGAAACTTCGGGGACGCTTAAGCGTTGACTTTACGAGTAAAACGCAATAGCGTTGTCGGGCACCGTACGCAAAGGCTCCTCATTAAAGCTGCGCTCGCCCCCACGTTGTACAAGGGTGTGTGCGTGGTCCAGCCGGTAGCGTCAGGTGTCACCTGACGTCACACTGACGTGACGTGACATCACGTGTTTTAATTGCAACTTTCCCGCCAAATATTGCCGAAAATATTTGCCTAATTTGGCGCGAATCGTCTCTGCTAAATTTGACGAGGCAATTTTTGGCAAATTTTGCGGGAAACGTTTTCGCTAAGCTTGGCGATAAATGTTTCCGCTAAATATAGCGGAAAGTTTTCCCACAACATTTAGCGGATCGATAAGGTCATGACGTCGACGTCACGCGTGTCTGCGCGCTTTGCATTATAAGATTCGTTGGACCCGCCGACGCCGGCACCGACTGCGGCATTTTTTGCGACAGGAGGCCCTAAAGGGCTACAGCGTTAAAAAGTGAAATGTATGTCACTGAACAAGTTCAAGCTTATAAATATGCGCCTTTCGTGAAAGAATCCCACATGGTATTAGCGGCGAGATGTTTCGGTGGTGCCCTCGTTTGGTTACCTTTCGTAACCAAACGAGGGCATTGTGTTCACAAGGTAACCAATTACCTTGTGAACAACAAGTTCGATGGTGTTAGTAATGGGCATTGTGGAAGCCTGAAATCATAGCGCTCTCAAAGCAACACTGCCAACACCGTCGAAATTGAAGTTCTTGCATTCCTCTTATTTGCGTCGCTGAGAAATCCTTTGCTGACGTCATTGTCAGTACTCGGCCAATTTTGGTGGGCCGACCACAGCGAGGCTTTCAATCGCTCACGTTGCCAATAATCGCACTCTAACCGCGATGTTATTAGTAAATTATAAGGAACAAGTTTAACATAACAGGGAACGTGTTTTAAGCGTGTACCTCACACCACCTATAGGGATGTAAAGAATAAAGAAATACGCCAACCAAAAAGTCGAAAAATTGTCGTTTCTTCCTCAGGGGCGACTAAACGGGATAATAGCTTCTTTGTCTTTCTTTGAACTGGCTATCTCTTCTTCTTCATTGTCGATTGCTGGTTGTCTTCGTTTCGCCTTTTTGGTTGGCGTATTTCTTTATTCTTTACATTTAAATTCACCCAACCAGGCAGATATCTGCCGAACATGTTTACCTTCACACCTATAGGGAGTATTCACTGGCGGTCCTATCTGTGTGCGCGGCTGCTGAGCGTGTGCTGACGGTAAGCATCCGCAGTTAATTTCTTTTGGAACGTTTATTCCGCGCCATAAAGATTGTCAGTCTTAGCAGGCTATCAATGCGAGCTCCTTCTGAGCATGCGCTCTAAACAACGTACTCAAATATGGCGTCCAGGGAATACCCCCTATTAGCGGCGAGACGTCTTGAAGGCGCCCTCCTATGGTTCCCTTTCGTGACGTCATTACGTTGTGAACAACAAGTTCGATGGTGTTTGTAATAGGCATGGGGGAAGCTCAAAATCGTTGCGCTCTCAAAATAACATTGCCAACACCGTCAAAATTAAAGTTCTTGCATTCCTCTTATGACGTCAGCAAAACCTTTGCTGACGTCATAGTCATCATTCGAGCAATCCTGGAAGCTGACCACAGCGACGCTTTCGATCGCGCACGTTGCCAATACAAGCGTGGCGACGACTAGTGCGGGAAAGGGCGTGCAATTACAAGCTTCCCAAAGCTATGTTCACGAGCACGCAGCTCGAGCTTGCACTCACGGTGCAGCAGTCGGGGCACCATGCTTGCAATTGTCGATACTGTGTTCTAACATAAGTTGATACTGCAGCCAATACCGAGTGCACGAGAGCAGGAGATTGTGACTTCGTAGCGTTCTTTAGCAGAACGAACGCACGCGCTAGAAATGCACACGTGGGACCACGGGGGTGGCTAGCGCACGGAAGTAGCTACCCCGTAGTGTAGGCTTAAGTGTGATGGGGCATGCCCTCCGGCGGGCAGATTTGCACGGAATGTAACGTTTGTAGTTATACTCGTTAGGCTCCGTGAAATTGTTTAGGATATGCACCCTAAATGACAACTTATGTCAATTTCGCAGATGATGCCACACCTCGTTGAGCAGGGAGACATCTTCATGGACATCTTGGATAAACTTGCCGGCGAAGGAAGGCAGGCATCAATGAATGACGCGTTCCAAGCTCTATCCCTTGACTTTGTCTGTCGGGCAGCGTTCGGAATTGACACCGACTTCCAGCATAACTTGGCATGTCCTTTCTATGTCAAAGCCAAGAGCATTGTTCCAGGAATGATGAAAGGTTTTTTCCACGCTGTTGCACGTGAGGAAGTCCTTTTCTTCTGCATAAGACCAATTGCTTGATTGTTATCCTACTCCCTGCAGCACTGCTTCCACTCACGCGCTTTAACATCTTTCATGTTGCAACCCCTACGGTTTATTATTTTTTACCAAGAAAGGGAAGTAAGTCAACCAAGTACTCTTATTTTGTCCTCAGAATCTTCGACAACACTTGGAAAGGTCATGAAACCATTCTTTTGGCTTAACAAAATGCTGGGAAATTTTTCCATGGAAATATTTGCTCAAGAGATGAAGAAAGTTGTGAAACTCAAAACACAAAATGCGGCGGTATGTGTGCTATTCAGCTCCTATGAAAAAGATTGCCTTGCCAAAACACTTGATACCTGCTCGAATATACTATTATTGGCGAAAAAAGTGTTACGTTTTATTGCGGGTGTCTCATGTACAGACCGTACAGAACCATTCTTTTCTAGATATCAAATACTTCCCGTAGAATGCCTGTACAATTATCGTTTACTCTGTACCCTTCTTTTCTCATCACCAACATTCATAGATATTTTGATATTGATTTCTGAACCTGAGAAACAGGAAAGCAATATAAACACACACTGTGTATATATAGACACTTGGCTCCTTCCTCGGTGCCGTACAAATTACAACCTACACTGCAGTCATTGCATTACAAAGTGCCGTAGGGGTTAAATGAATGTTTCACGAACAACATAAACATCTACACAATTGGCAAAAAAAAGACCTACGTGCCTACTGTTTTAACTATCGATAACTAATTTTGCTCTTCGCCTACTTCAGTGTAATGTCACTTTGTTTTGTTTTTCTTATCTTCCTGCTAAAGTGTTTTATATGTTTGTTGTTCGAGCTGCTGTCGGTGTATAAGGGGATCCCAGATGCAGTCAAGCTGCTCTTAGCAGCGTTTTTCTGGGAGCCCCTCCAACACTTCAGGAAAAATAAAGTTTATTGTATTGTATTGTGTAGTAAAGTGTTCGAATATTGGTATGCGGCATTAAATTCAGGGAGCTAATGACAATTTCTTTCTATTAATACGTAAGTGGGTCTAATTTACACCGCGCTTGACAAAATAACGCGTATTTTTTTTTTCAGACACGACAAAAAGACATGCTACAGAACTTTTTGGAAGCGGATGTGCATGCCTTTCAGTCCAAGAATGGAATGACACTAAAGAACAACAATAATTCAGAGAGTAAAAATACCTATTTAATTCTTATATTTTTTTAATTTTTATTTAACGCTGGCGGTTAAGGAGCTTATACATTTTTACGGATACAATATTTTGTTTTTCTAACGTCAAATCTTAATTCATAAAGGAGTCACGAATGTAAAGGAAGAAATCACTTAAATCAATTACCACGTATTGCATTCCTTTAACGTCTGATTTTTAGACTAATATGTTATCGCAATCTTGATTGGAGTATGACCAGGAAAGCAAATTAAAAAAAAAAACATATTAAACTAAAAAGAGGTTTGCGTTATAGTGGAAACCTTCATTTTTTAGCTCACAGAGAAAGTCTTGTTTCATGATACAAAATAGTCTTGTTTCTGCTCTCCTGAATTCATTAACTCTCTTAAACAAACATAAGGATTCTTTAAAAATATACTCATCATCCCCTCCCGTTGCCTCGAGGAACAAAAAATGTTTCCTTTTCGCCCAAACTACAGTTTCTAGTCTTTAAAATATAAGCTACCTTCATTGCTAATAAACATCTCAGTGGTAATGTGGATATCTACTCTATCAATCTTAAATCATTGTATCTACTTTGTGTATAGTATATGAAGTAAACTTGTGAACCTTTTATGTATTTTATGAATTTATTATTCTTTTTTCCTGAAATATATCTTGTTATTTTTGTATTCGCAAGTTCCAGCGAATATAGGGGACAATGCGGTTATCAAAGATGGAGAACAAAATGAGGATCGGTTCGACGTGGCCATCACAATTTGTTGAAATCCACGTGTTTTGCGACGAAGAATACTGTGCGATTAACTTCATTATTTCATTACTCTGTTCTTTCAGATGCACGGGCTAGTCGACAATAGACTTTTTCCAAAATCGCAGCGCCCCATCCTGGCGAAATACCACGCAGTGCACTCTGGGAACTAGTTGGCCAATCAGTTTCGGTTTAGGTTGAGCAGCTTCCTTTCATGCTATCAAGCCGTGACGAAACGCGCTGTTTGCGTTTTCCATTATCTGACTTTTCACGACTGGGGTTGCGGGTGATTCTCGAGCGATACAAAACAAAAACTGGGGCCCTTTCCTTGGTTCCCGAAACACCGGATATTGTGCGTACGTGTGCAAACGTAGTAAGACGTGGCTTAGTCACCTCACCCACGAGTGCATCTCAGAGAACTACAACTAAAACTTAGTCACCTTGAGCCTTACACGTATTTTGTTTCCAAACGTCCGCTTTTTGTTACTCCAGTGGGCGAAAAAGCCACGTGCTCACCGCGTATAAAAATTGAAGCCATCCTTGACACATGAACTGTTAAGGAAACGCAATAAATTCGACCTCACTACTGCACAAAACTTATTATGATGTGTTCCTCGTGTTACCGTATATCTCCCACTCAATTTTTAGACTGATAAAAGATTAAGTTTTCGCAAACGCTAAAATCGGCTAGTTACGATGGAGGCTCTAACAAGCGTCCCCATACTCCTCGCTAAGCCTTTTGGGCGAGCTTTTACTGATGCCCAAGATGTCTGAACGGTGTGACTGAGATTATATCGGCATATTCAGTCAAGAAGAAAGAAAACACACAGCAAATATTATGACCATTAGCAACCGTCAAATGAGCTTTGAATAATTTCTTTCGTTTGGCGCACAGCATAGGGGTTCACGCCCGCCCGGCACACTTCCGGCGAACCGTGCGACATTTTTCACACAAGTGCTCGACTTTTGCTTTCTTAAAAAGGTTTGTATGTACAAATGTGCGCCTATATGATGGCAGGATAACTTAATGCACATACGCGATGTTGAATATTAGTGGAATGCAAGCGGGTGGGGACTTCGCTTCGTGCAGTGCTCCGGGTCAGTACAGATAAGAGATGAAAAGTGTGTTCCGATTGAGCTTTTCAATCGAGCTTCCGAGTTTTACCTCGCGAACTCAGGCGAATTAAGAAAAACAGTAATTGCAGAAATTTATATTTCGTCTATAGACGCGCGAAACAAACAAACTTCCTGACCAGCAACTCTAATGTAAAGATGTGAGCTCGATGTATGCATACTTATTGGTTGTAACAGCTTGTTGACTCGTACACAAACAAGATATCCCCGAGGTTCGCAGAATCAAGATTTCCAGCACTGGCGTTTTCACATACCTCGAAACCCTAACAGAAAGGCTCAAGTACAAAAATACAACAAGCATGTGTTAAGACAAGCTATACGTCTCGGACTTGCGCTATAGCTTCGAGGTCTGGCCATTTAGGTTAGTTTAGAGACCAAAAATGACGCTCTCGGGACCAGAAAACATGCCACGCTCGTCGAAGTGTCGATCGGAACCGAAACCATGCCACTCTACTCCCTGGGCAACTAGTTCCCAGAGTGCAGCGCGCGCCGCGTTACATGCAGGGGTTTATGGAAGTAGTCTATTAAAAACACTTTATACCTCTAGGCTACGCAACGCAAAGGTGTAAAATATCAGCACCGGCACGGTCGAAATGGGAATCGCTCGAACATGAGCACTGCTTTTCAGCAAGACCAGTCGTCTGACGCTCGCGACACGAAATTTGATGCTATGGGCAGTCGAATTTTCCTTTATGGTGAAGTGCAGCCAGCACATTTAAGGACACCAACCGCTGACTGGTCGCGCAACGTAAACGTCAAACGATTAGCACTGCGAGCACTTTGATACGCCGCTATTCCGGACTACGTCTCGTATATACTAACCGAGGCGCCGCTGCGTTAAACGTATTTTAATTTATGTCACGATTTTTTTTTTTTGTGGTGAGCGTTGATTGGCATCAAGCAGAGAAGACGGCAAGCGATCGGTGACATCTCGCGAGACGAGCGAACAAAGCATGATTAATGTCCATCTTGGTTAAGCGCTTATAATGTTCGAAAAAAAAAAAAAGGAATCCAACAAGCGGGCTGCGATAATTTCGCCTCGTGAACATCATTAAAATCTGCACTATTATGTTTGCACTCGTATTAAAATACGGTGGCTCGAAATTGGATGGCTACGTTGCCACTTTGAAGGCACTGAATAGCCCTTAGAAGCACCGCATCGTTCGCATATATTTTGCTCGGTACCACAAACATTATATGCCTTAAGCACGGCAAAACACTGGACTAATACGCAATTCTTTTCCACTAATACCGGAATCACAGGGAATTCTCGGAATTTATACCACTTTATGTGACGTCAAACAGCATAATTTCGATGCGTTAGGGGTTTATTTATGATAGGCTAGGAATCGAGCGAACAGAAGGCGCAGCAGCAATAGCCCTTCGGCCAATACGTTTCTACACTACTCATACAAAACATAAAAACAAATCCCAGTAAAACAACGCTATCAATTGCGAATTCTATTAGAAGAAACGGGTCATCTTCAAAGACAACCGTTCAAAGGCTACAGGACAAAATCGATGGAGCAGATTTGTCAGGGTCGTTATGCGCGCGCACTAAAACCGCCATTAAGCTTCCGAATGCTCGTAGTGTACTTACATTTGTTATATACAAGATAAAGAAACGTTCAATTCAGCTTTGTTTTCAGTATTCATTTTTCAGATTCTACGCGACAGCACGTTTTGTCCCTCCGTTGGCCGTAATAGCTTTTGTTAATGGCTAATGCTTCGCGGTAAACCGGGAGCACCGACGATATCACACCGGCTTATTCGCTTTTAAGGCCACTGTCACGACTGAATACAGCTCAATGAGAGTCATACAGCCACCGAGCACACACAGAACGGGAAGGCGACGTTCTCAGTGTCAACTAGGAGCGAAGCAGCGAAGCTTCTTGGAGGGGGAAACTCATGCCAGTGGGCCAAGCGATCGCCGTCGAGCGGCGGGTCCGGTGGCGAGCGGACGCAGACAGTGCTTTCTTCAACGTCTTGTTGCCGCGTGAGGTATATTAGCACATCAAGTTGCCCGTTTGTCGTACTATTGCCGCGTAACATTAGTTCTAGCGGTGTTTGTGAGCTTCGTTCTCCTACGTTCCGAGCCTACACGGCAAAACAATCCCCCTCTGCGTTTTTCGGGTTCACCGCCAGGGCGGCGACGCCCAAGTTGGAAGTTCCGAATAACCGTAGGTGTCTGTAAAGCGTGCGGGGCACGAACACCATTAGGTCCACATTGGTTGACCTTCTGATTCCAGCTCCGGCGTCCATAACCCATACAGATGCTGAAATATAATTGCATTAAAACGTTAAAAATTCTTCTTGAGGGGAATCTTTACCCACCTTTCGCAAAAAAAAAAAAAAAAAAAAAAAAACAAGAAAACTCAGATGTGATCATTATGAAACCGATTGTCTTGTTTAACTCTATTTTATAAAACGTCAGTTTATGCTTGGCTTCATACTACAATAATAAAATCTTAAGCTGCATTACTAGGGAAAGAAGCCGGTTCTTCTGAGTCGAAACTCGCTCACCATCTTTATTTGGCTCTAGATTCCTTTAGGAAGAGGTTAACCAACTAAACACCAACGTTACCAGTTATCAAATAAAATATTAATTACCAACAATTTACTTCAGCTACTTTTCTTTTTTACCAGGTAACAAGCTTGAGGACGTTGGGCACCTTTCTGAAGAAGAAGTGGTATTGCTGACGACAGTTGTATTGATTGGAGGGTAAGCGCTGATTTATATCAATAAAGAGCGGCTTAATAAGGACGTTTACGTAGCCCATTACCTTCGACACTGTGCAATTTGAATAAAATTAAACTATTTTAGTTTTTCTTGATACAGACGGCAAGACCGAGAACTGTTAAAGGCAGCGTAATCAAACAGGCGCTGAAAATAGGTGCACCACAGAAGGTTAGGGTACATAAAGTAATGTAGCTAAAACAGACTCAAAGCATGTTTACAATCAAGCTGCTTAGATTTTAAAGGGGACTGCACTGTGAGCTGAATGTCTTTCTACGCAACCGAAAAAGCAAACAATTGAAAAGATGGCTGAGTCCATACTTTTAAAGCTGCTAACTCAGTGACCCCCGTTCTACACCCGGAATCTAAAGAAAACGCCGCGACGTTCGATCTCTCCCCATTATACCTTCACGAAAAGCTGCCGGAGTCATAGGCGTGTAATGAAACATCTTTAATTTTTTTAAGTTTTAGCACATAGGGCACAAATATCAAATTCATCAAATAGAAGCAAAAAAAAATAAAATGCAGAAATATATATATATCAATCTGATATACGAATTGTTAATAATATAAAAAAAAGTTTCGTAAATAACCCCTGCAGAAGAGGAGCAAGGCGCACAAAGAACAAACACAAATCTGAAAACACAGCCACGTAACTGGTGTGCGTCCGAAAAAATCCGCCTGGTTTTTGTATCGAACCAGGGACCTCATCGTTTTTAGTGGAAATCTCTACCAATAAAGCAAATTAGAAGCTAGACGTCACGTAGAGCAAGCGGGCTTTATCAGCTGCCAGCAGTCGAACCACTTCTCCACAATTTATTTTCGTCACTTTTGTCCAGCTCGCTTTCACTTTTGTGTTAAAAAATTGCCTTGAAACCTAAAGTAGCCACTTATTCGCTGCAATAATGAAAGTTTGAATATCTTTTGATTCCAATATTACTAAATTGTCAAAGGATATGATCCTCTCCTTCAAACGTGCACCAAATAAGTAAGTACAAATGAAAACTAACGCAGCTTTATTTTTGTAGCTTTCAGACAACGTCCGTAACGCTCGGCTTCATCTCATTGTTACTAGCCATGCACCCGGATATCCAAGAAAAAGTGAGAGGAGAGGTGAAGGCGGCGATTGAAAGTTCGGTAACTATATTTTTATTTAACTCAAAATATTAAGCTATAGATAATATTGAAGCGCCCGAAATATATCGTATTATGCGCATGATGGGGGGGGGGGGGGGGGGGGGGGGGGGTGTCGGATATATTGACGAAAACATTTAACATGATTTAAATTATTTTTTGTTCTAGGCAATAAATAACATTTTGAGGTAACCCGAGACTCAATACGAAAGTTGACACCAAGAGAATAGAATGGGAACGAGTCTTGGCACGTTCTTTTTCTCTTATCTTGGTGTCCACATTGGTATTTCTCAGTCTCCGGTTAAATCAAAATAGTCAGTATTCAAAAGCTCACTTGCATCCTTACTTCTCTTCGTACTGCGTAGTAGATCATATAAGTTCTTACACGTCTTATCCTTCGTTCCTAAATATTGAGCTGCGAGCTAGCGCTTGCCCCTCTGTTTGCTTTTGCAGTGTATTTGTCTATTGTGCAGAGTACAAACGAAAAATGGCATGTCATGTATCGCTCTCTCTGGATGCTAAATAATTCTGCACTGACTTCTTCCAGTATTCATTTGAGTTTGCTACCCATACTCTATACTATAAAAGAGAGCGCAAGAACGCGTGATCGCATCAATAATATTGAAGCGCCCGAAATATATCGTATTATGCGCATGAGGGGGGGGGGGAGGGTGTATAATCGGGAACACAAACTCATTACTACCTAACTTTACAGGAGGGACCTAATTGTGGTGCAAAGCAGGTTATAAACATCCGTCACATTAATTGTTGAGGTTGAAAACACCTAAAATAAACAAAACTATAGTTCTATAATTAACTTAAAATATCTTAGATAATGTATCCCTTAGATATAATTTTACTTTTGTTTATATCTGAAAAGTGTCCCCTGGAAACTCCGCCGCTTTATGAAAAGTTTGTTCAATGAAAAACATACTTTATTGAAAAGTTAGCTTTTAAATACCATAAAGACCCGTCTCAGAGAAACGTTTGCAACGAATAAGTCCAATGAAGAGGCGCAGTTTCAATTTTTTCCTACAAGCTCCTACTACTTTCCTCTTTACTCGTGCTCTTCATCACAGAGGCATCAATGGCTTTCAAGAATAGTTTTGTTTCTTTCAGCCTAAGTTAGGCTGAGGCACCACCTTAACATTTCACATTTTTATGTAACATTCGACTAGTTTGTTTTGTGGCCGCGTTAAGCGCAGGAACATATTTGTTTTAAATATTGTTGCATTCTTTGTAGAGTGTACCATTTTACGTCGGTATATTAACGCCATGCTGAAGTTACACATCAGTACTGTGTAATCAATCCTTATATTTTGATATTTCTCTGAACAGGGATGTTTGGATTATAACACAGTGATCCAGAAGCTAAAATATACGCGGCAGGTCATCAATGAGACTCTTCGATTGTATCCACCCTCTGTCACGTATGTTCACATTAATTCGCTCATATCTCCGACGACTTTTTCAATCCACAATAAACTGGGTAAAAAGAAAAGTGGTGATAAATATCTTTAAAACCACAAGATGTAGATTATTACAAAAGAGACATCTTCACATAATCAATACGTACATTTAGGTACTGTAAGTGTCGCTGATCCCTGTGTGCTGAGATTATTTTTATCGTCGTTTAAATTTTTAGTAGTAACAATATACTTTCTTTGCTTGTGTCGGTACACGAATGGAAAGACGTCTTTTTGCAATTCACACAGACCTGCATCTACAATTCCAGGTTTCACACAAGAACTGCAAAGGAAAGCTTTGAGTACAAAAACAAGACATTCAAGGCTGGAACATGTATAATGGCTCCCGTACTCCAACTACATCAAGATCCAGATTATTGGCACGAACCCAGCAAGTTCAACCCTGACAGGTAACTTTATAAAAAAAAAAGAAAAAGATTGTGTTGTACAGGAGAAAACGCGGAGAGGCAGAAACAAAAATTACCTAGAGTGCTTCAGACCTGGGCTTATATTTGTACCTTTATTCTTAATGCATATATTATCCTCCAAACTTGGCCTATCACTTGCGATGGCAAACAGTCTGTTTGCTACGCATCTGTTTTCTAGTAGTTAAAATTTAAAAGCTGCCATTTTTGTAGAGTGAGCTACACTAGCCGAGGTTGAGCAGTTTCGCGTGGCTCGCATAACGAGCCGTGCTCCTGGCTAAGCATGCGCGAAAAGCAGTGACCTCACACGGCGCACACCTGACGCGCCGCCGCCGCCACGCGGTCCGACGCCGCGCGCACGCCTCGCCGGTCTGCGGATTCCAGAGGAGTGATGTCATAGCCGCGGCAAACGCACTGGCGCCGCCGCGAGCCCAGCTGTGCGCCTCCGTTGCGCAGTAGCCAAGTCTGACGCTGCCCCGGAGCCGCTTAATAGCCCCTCTCATTTTGTGCGCATAAGCTCACGCTACGTATATCCTGGCATAGCCGAGCTAAGCCACCGCAATTTTTTTATGTAGGGTACATACCTCTGATGAGATGTAGCATTTTTTTTTTTTAAATACTGCCACGATATTAAATTAGTTGTTATACAAATTTCCTGATGAGAAGCCGACGTCGCCACCCTTGTAAAACATTGACCTTGACCTAAATTTCCTTCTTTTTTCAACAAACCAAAAACGATGAGAATGTCAAGCATTACACGCCTCTAAAAACAGATATATATGTAGTACATCTCGTGTCATCGTGGTTGTAGGACTGACAAAAATTGACTCCTTCAAGCGCTTTCACTGCATGCAACGCCGTTCACAACCTTCCTGCAAAGGTTTTCAGCTAAGGGTGTCCTGTTCTTGGGTAACCCGGAGTTATAGTACCGGCATATCTTATGCTTTACATTTCCAACTTGTCAAGATTTTTCAGGGATTTCTAACCAAGATCGCTACGCCGATTTAACTGCAAGCTAGGCTCATTTGGTGTTCAGATTCCGTCATCGTATGCCCTACATCAGAGAAATCGAAAATAATATTGATCATTTCTACATCCCGTCCTGAGAGCACAGTATTGGGAGGGACGAAAGCTCAATTCATAGCTTTGTTGATATTTGATGTTGTGTCTTCCTCTCTCGTCTATTAATGGAAACCCAATTAATTTTTGATTGGCCAAACACAGTGCCCTTAGTGTGCTCGTTGATTCTAGAGAGAGTTATAAATAAGCTCTATTACTGATTATCAAATACGCGCTTACAAAGTACTCTCGGAACTTAACCAAATTAGCATCAGCAATCGACTACCAGAATGGTGAAATCACCGTACGCGGCTCTGCGTTGCCACGAATGCACTGAGCGAGAGTGGCCATTCCGCTCGCAACGTTTAGTCTCAGGGGTGCCTCGACAGCCAGTCATCACTGGCTAAAGATTGTTGCACTGCATCGATACTGACATCTATGATTCTTGTCAGCTCGACGTCTTAGAGGCCACTAATGTCGGTACAACGGTGCATAGAAAGGGAGATATCATTGCACCCAACAAGATAGAAAACAGGCACCACGTGAACAGCAGCTTTGGCGCCAACGCTTTGCCAGTAATGGCGTCACCAATACGCCGTAATTTTGTCGGTAACTTAGTAGCCTACTCGTTATCTTTTAAAGCAAAAACAAATAACGCAGTTTTGCTACTTACTTCCAGTTGCTGGTAAAGTAGCTACGGTACCCATCGCATATTTTTCCAAAGACCTAAAAAAAGTATAGCTGAAGGTGTTTGGTGTTTCTAGGCGCTGAGTCATTCATCCTTTCACACCTCCCACGTATATTCAACGTTTTCCCTCTCTACCCCAAGTAAAGACTTCCGCTTTACAAAACCTCCAGCGGGACGCCCTTTGTTCCAAACGCTGTAGCCGTCAAAATAAATTTTAGTAGATCGTTTTCGAGGTTTGTCACGTTCTTTAGTTTGGGAAGCTCTTGATATAAGAAGGAAGAAACTACGGCCAAAATTTATTTCCTAACATCTATTCCTGTAGAGTTAGGATACACCGTAAAAACTACATGTTCTCCCACCATTATATATCTCATCGTTTTAATCACGAACTAAAGATTCGAAAATACAAATGCAGCAAAAAGAAGTTTAAATCAGTGTTTTTACCCAAAACCAATAGAAACTCCACCAATTGTCTTTCAAGGTTGTAGACATTTCGGATCATGATATGCTTTTTTTGCTGCACAGTAAGAAGTTTTGTTGTTGTTTTTTTGTCTCCAGTGTCCTCATTTTTTACTTTTCTTAGAGTATACATGTGCGCTTTCTCTTATGTTTTTTTTTTCATATTGTCTTATTGTTTCACTTTATGTATATCCCCTTCCCCCAAAGTAATGCCATTTGGCGCTGAGGGTAAGTGAATAAACACATAAAGCATTTTAGTTAATTAATCAAAAGTAACTCAAAAGCGTGCGTTGCGTTTTATTGGTGAGGTTTACGGCAACGCTTTTCTTTTATTTGCAACCTATTTTGTTATTTGTTTGTTAAGGCCTACATTGCTGTAGCGCAGTGATGGATGGCCAATGAAAGCCTGAAGCAAAGAAGAAACATTCCAAAAGCGCGCTAGCTGTGGCAACGCCGGCTGCCTGCCGACCTCCCGCGTGCTACAGAGGTGGAAACTGAAAGGCAATATCACTCCCAATCTACCTCCATGAAGGTGTCGCAACGTGTCCGCCTTTACGGGCCCGGCGGAAACTAGTTTGTGCTATATTCATTTAGTGGCGACTGGGCACAATAAAGTACAAAATAAAAAAAAGGATATTACATAATTCTGTCAACCCACTGATTTTTTTTACGATTTTTTTGTAAGAGACAATCTTTAGCGTCTATGTTGGAGCGCCACATAAGAGTATTTTAATAGACTTGTATACTTTACAAAAAAGTTATTTTGATATAAATGAACGCCGACTACAGCTATTTCCACTAACGGTGTCGCTCGCCGCACACGCTCGTGAATCACGATTACAGATTTGGTCCTGAAAATGAAGGGCGATACTGCAAGGCTGCTTTCCAGCCTTTTGGTATTGGACCACGCTGCTGCGTCGGATACAATTTGGCAGTCTTTCAAGTTCTGTACTTCACCGCGAGGATGGTTGCCAACTTCAAGATGGAACTCGGCGAAGCCCAGAAGGTAGACCTCGTGTTCAATTTAGATGCAACTGCAATCTAACAGACATTCCTATGAATAGTACAAAAGTTATCCTACCAAATTTAGGGAGGTTAACCATGTTCCTAAGAAGCATAACCGTTGGATATGGTGACTCGGGTGTGACACCTTGTGCCTTCGTAATCTTACCATCTGGCATCGATTCGTGCCGTTTTTTCAAGAATTTAATCCTCACTTTTCTTATCAGTCACAGGAGTGTCTACAGTAAGCCAACTAGGCTCGGAGGTGGCTAGCGCGACTACGGGAGACGCAAAGATTGTAATACAAATTTGGGAATTTGACACAAAGCAACAAAAATCTAGATTTCTCTCGAGAACATTTCGAAACAATTTCCTTTTGTTAGTTTTTCTTAGCAGGGGCAGGTGCGCTAAATTCCAGATACCATTTGCGTTTTATCGCACTGAAAGATTAAAAAAAAGCTGCAAAATTTATTCAAATTCTACGCCTAACATACCGAGACTAGATTTAGCACACATACCTACAGAGTGAGTGTTACGTATGCCTAATTACAAAATATATTAAAAACTTACAAAACTAGCATAACATCTGAATTTTTTTTTCTTTTTGCGCGTTTTGTCAATACACCAGTATTGTAATCAACGGCACGTTTTAGTAACTTCTAAATTCCAGGCAAAACTCGAAATTCCATCATTCCTGAAAAGACGTTGTCAATTTTATTGGAATCCTAATAAATATTTCGTGTTAATCATAGTTGAATGCAAATACCCTTATAGATAACAGTAAATCTGCAATCTATTCACTTTCTGAGGTGTATCACTTTGTTCAATATCAGAGAAATCGCTGAGCGCATCAGTGATAGTACTAGTCTTTAAAAAATAACTAATGATCTAGTCAACAATTAAGTATCTATTATTCTTTGCAAAATGTCTTACATTGCTTGACATCTCTCAATTATACTAATGAAGGTTATCCATTACTACAGCTCACAAATACACCAACTTAAGATAACTTTGGTTTAAAACAAAGAAACCGAATGAGTTTCAGACACTTTTACTGAGGATTCTCTAATTCTCTCATCTGGAGGCATGTGTCATGAAAAAAAAAACGAATAGAAACAATTTCCTTTTTATAATAATAAAGCAACCTTCATGTGCCTAGAAGGGTTTGTAGAAAATGCAATGATCTAACGAAGGAAAATTTTGCATGTGCTCTGGTGTAAACAAAAAGGTCTACTAAACCATGTATATCTTTTTTTTAGGGTGCCATTGCGATACATAATGTCGGCATGATGACGATGCTGGATAATGGACCTTGGATAAAATTCACACGAATATAATATTGCTGCTTTAACCGCAAGACCAAAAGCAGGGTTGTGCACAACATTCCTCGAGCGTGTTGCGCCGAGATGCGCAGCACGGCCGTTACGCTTCAGCTATGAAGTTACCGCCATAACAATTTCATTTTATTTCACAGGTTGCTAATAAAACATTTTGCTCCTTACAGTCTCGTCGTGTTTTATTAATAAGTTTACTAATTTCAGTTCGCAGTAACACACCTGACAAATTTCTTCTGACATGCAAAAACACATACCTTGATCAGTAAATATGTTTCTCAAAAACGTGACGCTGAACAGAACAAACGCGAACGACGGAAGGACAGATTCTTGCCCTCGCCGTGCCGCTCACCGGTCGATAGCGGTAGTTGTCGTACTGCCTGTAGTCCTCTTTGAAGGTAGTTACCGCTCCAAGCGACCGGCCCTTTCGGTAAATGACATTCCTGGCAACGTCACTCGGCCTTCAACCATATTCGGCGCTAAACACTGAGTTGACAATGCGGTATGTACATTCGAAATGCCCTCCCCCCCCCCCCTCCCCGCCAAAAAAAAAAAAAAAAATTGCACGACACGTTTGAAAAATGTGCGCCACACTGTCCACTCGACAAAGACGCGGTTACCAGCATCGCACGTGGCGGAAACGGATCGGCGTGACCTCCCTTTACTTAAAAAAGCGGGCCCCTCGGCACTGTCAGTGTCCTTGAAGAGCCCGACAGGTGGCGCGAGAGCTTCTGCTGCCGTCCGTTCAGAGGCGAGACGAGAGAGGTAGCCAGTCGTTACATCATTCACGTATCGTCCGTCCGTTACTGAAAACTACATTCTAGGTCGTTGGGCAATCATCGTTTTCACAAAACAAATTCACTGTGATATATCTCTATACAAAAGTATCTCGGCCGCAACGTCTTCTGTTCTTCCAAAGTTTTGTGAAGAGCTTTGGCCAGCATGGAGTGCGTCAATGGTCGTACGTTTTATCAGAGCCCTATCGAAGTTTTCCTGCTATCTGTGCCCTATAAAAGTCGATATATTCGGGTGCCAACTTCAGCATGCGCCATTTTGTCGCTTGCTGATTATGAAGGGTGCACATATATGTATGTTTGTTAAATTATATGACACCCCGAATGATAAATATATTTTTTTTCTCATAAATATTCGCCTTGAGATCGAACTCAAGGTGGCGCTACTGTGGCGCTATCATCATCATCAATGTGTGGATAGGAAGATGGCTGCCCCATAAGATATTCATAGAGAAATATAGTACTACGTAAAGGGCGGACACTTCCATAGGCCCCAGCGGCCCCCAATTCAGCCTCAGCGAGCGCTCCCAGCGGCCAGTATAGTCCCTAGTTGAGTGTTGAATGGATGGATACACGCAGTAACCGCTGGCCAGATGAATTAATGGATTCAAGGCGAGTTCTGGCGGCATTTTTGTATCGGGCAGTAGCATGCGCCCTCTAATTTAACGAGCCAGTGTTATTGTAACTAGCATGGTTTTTTGTTTAAAACAGAACTTTTTTTATCAGCATACCTTAATTGTACTCCAGAAGAAAAGTCATCCTGCGCTACATATAATTCAAACTGACCGCAGACCGAAAAGGTTATTTTCACGTTTGTGCTAACTCCCTTGAAGGGACGGCATAAGACGACACCAGGGTTTGACACACAAAAGGATTTATTTTTGTAACTAGGACAAGCAAAACAAACATCAACTCTGAAAACAAGAAGTGATGCATGTTATTCATACATTACAAAAATAAGAATACAGATGCGAAATGTATCAATACCGCGTCAACAGTTATACCAGAATTAATTGGGGGCTAGTTGGTAGAACATCTAGACGGTGGTTTTAAAAAGCGCAAAGGACTAAGAAGGGAAGGAGGGGACAGGACAGAGTGCTTGCTTACAACTGTCAAATTTAGTAGAGCATCTAGAGAGCGACAAGGTGGAAGTGAAAATGAAGAAAAAAAAGATGTACACTGGAAAAAAATACAGTTACAGCGAGACTTACTGCGACAAATGCAATACAATGGAGGGCATTTAAAAAAAATTACCGTCCAAGTTCCATGAAAGGCGCTGCTGAACGACGCTTACACATATATGACTGCCCCAGCGGCTTCTAAATTCAGTGACATCCGCGAACAAAGAAATTACAGTCACAATACTTCTTACGTATACCGTATACCATGACCGCAATGGAAGAATGACTAGGAACCCGCACGAGACAACCAAGCTACGGAACCAACTCAACTCACACAACGAGGCAAGAGACACAGACCAAGCAGCCGAAGTAACCGCCCTCCGTCGAGTCCACGACCACGACTACGAAGCCAACCGTCGCGCCGCAGCCATAGCCACAGCCGTTGAAGCCGTTTTTGAAAGTTTTCAAAGTTCGTAATAATTTTAAAAGTTTACTCTATACAACGAAGTTATTCATTAATATTATATATCCGAAAAATGTTCAGAATAAGTGGCACTGTTGCGCCTACTAGCGGCCAGTAGAGTCCCTAACTCCTGGGCCGCGAAACGGCTTGAGTGGCCACTCTTTACGTAGGACTATATTTCTCTATGGGATATCCGCGGTCACGGCCAAGAGCCTACAAAATATCGCGTTCATTGCCTCGTACAGTATCATTGTGAAAGCAATTTCAACAGAAAATGGTGCCATACTGTTCATTGCCTCAGCGAAATGACTACTGCACCGAGGTGGGGTCAGTTTTCACCGATAGGCAGCGGCCGGCCCTCTAAGGAAATATTGGCTCTCGAAGTTGTGACCTGATTCACGCGATGGTTTGCACTAAAACTTTCGCCGCCGGGGACGTTAAACAAACGATGCATGACAACCAAGGTAAGTGGGAAAATAAAACTGTTTACATAAATATCACGAGTGGGCCAAAGAATGGCACGCTTAAAACGTGAGTGCGGAGAATCGCTCGCTGCTGGGCAGTGGGATCGTCCTTAGTGTGTGTTCTCCGTCTGCGATGTTTTGGGAGAGGATGCGAACGCCATAAACTTATTACTGCGTGAGAATCCGACTTTTAAAACAATGTAGAATTGTCACTCCTACGAGCACTCCTACACAAAGCCACACTAAAGGAGTCATCGACTGCAGCGGAATTGACTCGCTCAGTGCTTGCGTGTGCGTCGGACGCACCTGATCAATTGTCTTGAAGTTTGGTTGGAGGTACGCGGTAAATAGGGCTGATGGTAACTGGTCAATCTACCCAGGAGCAACAGGGACTACCGAGCCTATTGAATTACTTGTTTATGATCCATGAATTTTGCTTACCCTCCGCGTGACGAAGGTTTCGTACCACTTCGCTTGACAAACAAAATTTTCAGCAGCAAATCACGCTACATGAAAACGGCATGATTACATCTAATGTTAACAGCTCACTAAAGGACATGGGTGCGACGTACGAAGCTCGAGCCATCCTTTTTCGAAGTGAATGCACCGCCTGCTGCAATACCCTTCGCGAGCCCCATAATTTCGGGACTTACAAAATTAGTGATAAATAAAGGTACGCGTCTACCCCTCTTGTTCTGAGGCAAGAATTCAATTCTTTAGAATTCGCAAGAGTTTGTGGCCGCGAATAGGTTCGCATGTTAAATTTTCGAATAATTAGACCCCAAAAATAAAGGGTTTTATGTATGCAGCATTTAAAACGATTGAGAGGAGAAATAGTGCGATTCTCTCAAAGACGTATCCGGCCGTTGGAGATACAATAGTTATTCGGCAGGGTGAGTGCACGAAAGTTCATCAATCGTGGCACCGGTCGTGAGTTTTTGATCCAAAGTTTGGAAATCCCTGCTGAGAGCCGCCGCCTAAAGTACGGAGCTCTAGTTCACAACTTGTTCACCTTCGACAAGGCACCGCTTTCCCTCAGCAATGTACTCCATAATAGTATGGAATGGTACTGAAACTGGAACAAATAATCGCATCACGACAACAACCACCGTAGCAACATTATATAAGCATCCATCCGGTTTGGTATTCCTTGCCTTCACGTGTAAAAACTCTACGGGAACGATACAATCTTTTTCCAAGAGATAGGCCTTCACAACGCAGATAGCGGAGTTTACCCGAAAGCAAGCGTTCGTCGTCGCGAAGATTCATGTTTCAAAGTGCTTCAAGAGCAGACGACGGTCGGCGGTATCCACACTGGCAGTGTTTCCACATCGGCCGCACGGTGGCGACTCTGTTCGACCCCAAAATTATTTGAAATTGCAAAAATCTACTGCCCAGTGCCGGCCGCTTCCACCACTTTTCAGTTATACTGCGGGACAGAAGGTTTGTTATATGTTACGTTATAACACCTAAATCTGCTTTACAATTGAAAGATGATAGGCCTATGCAGTATATTAACGGGGAAAAACGCCAGAACATTGACATCATAAGAACTTTTATTCCGGATTAAAGAGCTGAAACTGACAAATTCCTTCAATATATGGAACCATAAGTCCAAAGCCTCCACGGGTTCATTACAATTGGGTCAAACATTATAATAATATATACTACGCAAAAGATAATGTTCAAATGCTTTTCTGCAGATTGAGTACCAAACCAGGTTTAGTGTCGCGCGTCCAAGTGCAAGAAACAGATGGTTATAAGCATCGCGGTTTAAATAGACACCGAAACATGTATGAATAAATCTTTAGCCTATAATATTGCGATCTCATTAAAGTTGAGAAACCGAATCTTATGTAAGTCTAAAATTATACCTTGCAATATGTTTTTGTTTTTAAATCTGAGTTTTAAATAGAAAAGCAAGACTCAGAACCTTAAAAAAAAATTGAAAAGAAAAGCCGATATCACAGGACGTATTGTTTGAAAGAAAGTGAACTGTCGCCCTGTTACTGTTTTTTTAGGTATCGTTGATCCCGCGCGAATAGATTGTTCACGAGGAGAAGCGTGTATATATATATCAGTCAACAGAAGGACATAACAAACAAGAGCAAGTACTACAATATCACCGACGGTGCAGCTCGTAACTCATCTCTTACGTCATCCTACGCCCGCCATGGCTCGCTAGAGGCTGACTGTGACCAGTCGGGAAGTTGAGCTTTAGACGATATCATCTATGCTTGCTGTAGATCAAAGGTGTCATTTAACAAATGAAAAAAAAAGCTTTTAAAACATTCTGTCTAGGCTATTTTTGACGGAGCTGCCCTTCA